GCTGTGGTTGACATTTTCTTCACAAACTGTTGATATCCACACAGAGACCAGAGAGAGGATGGGTCGAAGGCACTGGAGCCCTTGACATGTCTGTGATCATGTCAACAACACATATTCACTCAAGGATTCTGCTCACCGCTTTGATCTTGGGTTTCTTCTTTCTTTGTTCAGCTTTTCTGGAAATTGCTGAAGTTAAGTACTGTGCAGCCACTCTTCCTCCTACCCATCTCCTTCCACAGGTGCCATAACTAAACCCAAGGGTTAAAGTTCTCCCCTCCTTCCCTTCATATCTTCCAATGCATTTCAGTCACATCTAATGTTTCCATGTTTCCATCTTGAAGGACAAAAACTAATGGAACTTACTGTTAGAAGGCAATTCCTTACCATCAATCAAAGAATCATGTACTAGTTTTCCTGGGAATAGTGGCTCACATCTCTAATCCCAGCACCCAGAAGGCCAAGGTAGAAGACTCTGCGAGCTTCAGGCCAGAATAGGTTATGTAGAGATTTCTAAGACAGTCAAGGTTGCAAAATGAGAGCCCGTTCCACAAAAATCTACCACATACTAGTACACACATGAATTTCCTATGTATTGTTTTGTGAAAATGAAGAAAAAAAGAATATTTAAAAAGCCCATGTATCTGAGGAGTTGGACTTTGGAATCTCGAAGCAGTCTTTCCCCCTTAGTGTAAAACACTTGTAACCAAATGTCATCACTGATCCACATACCTAACTTGTGGTCTTATTTCATACTGCACATCATAGCCCCCTAGGCAAGAGGTCTTGGGTTTTTTTTTAATTTTTTGAAGCGACATATTTTATAAGCATGAAAATTTATAACTTAAGTGGTAGCCTTTTTATTTCTTAATGGTTGAATTACAATAAAGGACATCTATAATAGATATAGATCTTTATCTTCTCCCTACACAGTATTCATATATTCAAGTGTGTGTGTGTTTATGTCTGCTTATATGTCGCTATGAGTATGTGTATGCCTGTATTATGTGTGTATTTGTGTGCATCTGTGTTGTGTATTTGTTTCTGTGTGTGTGTTAGTGGATGTCTGTCGTGTGTGCATGCATATGTGTTAGTGAATTGCTATGTTATGTGTGTTAGTGGATTGCTGTGTTAAATGTATGTGTGTGGGGTCATGGATGTCTGTGATGTGTGTGTGTGTGTTACTTGTGTGTGCATGTGTGTATGTCAGTGGGTGTCTATGGCAGTGAACTAAGTGGTTTTCTTATTTGTGTGATGGGAAATACAGCTCGATTCCTCCATTCTTCATTCTGTTTTGTTATCTTCCTGTAATAATTCTTCCTGAGTATTTCAAAGAAAAAAAAAATTAAACTTGGTTTATAAATTTGAAAAACTTAAATCCCATAAGGTTTTTTATTCTACTGAGTATTGCAGTTTTGTGAATATATGGAGACTTTCAACATGGCAGCTATTTTAAAAGCCAACATGTATCTACTTTCATTCAATCAAATTCTTATTTGCTTCTAAGGAGAAAAAGTCATGTTAGAATCTTTTACAAAAATGTCACCATCATTGATTAAATGTATAAACTAATCTATTAATATGTAAGTTAAAGACCAAGATCAAAAGGGAGAAATTTTCTCAAACTATTTAGCTATCAATAATATACAGAATAGCTCAGAACACAACATATGGAGCTCAACTTTTAAGTTTATTGATATTAGTTAACCACCCATATAATATGTAATCTATCAATTGTATTAAGTGACTTTATATACATAGATATCTATGTCATTCATTAGTTTTGTGGTCCAAAGCCATCTTCAATACCCTCTTGTGAGGCATTGTGCCTGCATTGTCAGGTTTCCTGTGGTCTCTGCAGTTAGGGAGTTTGCAGGGCTGGAGGAGGGAGGAAATATCCTGCTTGTGTTGTTTGCTCCAGTATCACCATAGCAACACTTCTTTTTCAGCAACAGTAGCTGAATCTAGTTTGTACTTGTTCTAATATTTGTGGACCAGCTCCATAGACTCTAAGTGTCTCTAGCACCAGGCAGTTGGCATCGATGCCTCTGTTCATAGATTTGCTCGCAGACTCAGTTTCTTTTGGGAAACCAAAGACTCCAGCGGTAGACAAAAGCAAAGTCCCTTCCTAAGTGTTCAGGTCTTCAAATCTTGGGGTCTTTCCTAACATCCTTTTTAAATGGCTCTAACCTCGGATCTGCATTTTGCAGTTGTTACCTGGTGATACCTGGAAGTCTGTGAAGTTTTGGAGCTTATCTATTGAAACCAACTTTCAGTAGGTGAACTTTCAGTTCTCAACTTTCTCCACAAATTACAGCTAAGCTGAAAATCAAATTAAGTCAAAGCTAATGGGTTCTTCTTAATTTTGTTTAATCCCAATGCTACTGAAAGGAATACAGAGGGGCCAAGAAGAAACTCAAAAGCATTTCTTTTAAAATTAGGAACAAATTGAGTATGTCGTTTCTCCCTCCCTTAGTCAACACGGTGCTCAAAGTCTTACCTAGTTCAGTAAGGCAAGTGAAGGTGACAAGGAGGATACAAAGAAATCTAAGTATCCTTATTTTTCAGATGCTTTCATTCTGTACATAAAAGACCCTGAAGAGTCTATGAGAAATATCTCACACCTGATAAACACATTCAGCAAAGTATCAGGATTCAAAAATAACACTAAAAAAAATACAGTCTTTCTATACATAAGTGACAAGCACATCAAGGAAGAAATCAAGGAAACAATTAAGCCTACAACAGCCTTAAAAATCATGAAATAAATCTAACTAAGGAAGTGAATGACTTGTAATAAAAACTTTAAGACACTGAAAAAGGACATTGAAGATTATACCAGGAGATGGAAAGAGCTCCCACGCTCATGGATTGGTATGACTGATAATATTAAAAAGCATCCATCCTACAAAAACAAAACAAAACAAAACAAAAAACAAAAAAACCCTTAAAGGTTTAATGCAATTCCTATATAAATTTAAATGCAATTCTTTACAGAAAAAGACCTTAAATGTTATATGAAGCTGGGCATTGATGGTGCACACCTTTAATCCCAGCACTTGGGAGGCAGAGGCAGAGGCAGGTGGATCTCTGAGAGTTCAAGGCCATCCTGGTCTACAGAGTGAGTTCCAGGACAGCCAGGGCTACACAGATAAATCCTGTCTTGAACAACCAAACAAACAAAAAAGTACCCAAAGTTTCTTTGAAATTCCAAAGTTTGGGCTCTTTTAAAATCATAAACTAGTTACATATTTCTTATTCTAAGAGGTAAGAATCAGGGCACAGCCACAATCAAATCAGAGCAAAATCAAAGTTTAACAATGGAAATGAAATCCTATCACTCAGTGTCCCACATCTGGAATTGACTGAGATCTTGGCCTGGGCAGCTCTTCTGTGGGTCCCCCAGCCACAGCATACACAGCTCTATTCACTCACTCTGAAAATGTATTACTATTAACATCATCCAAGAGCTCAATAGCAAATTAAAACACAATCCTAGTTTTAAAGGGAAAAGTCAAGAATAGAAATTTTCAAAAAGAGGCATACTGATAGCCAAAATATTTGTAAAAATCATTAAAATCGTTAATTATTAGCAAAATACACCTCAAGATCACAGTGAAATTTTACTTCTCTGAGGATACAATAGCATCAAGAAGACAAAGAATGACGTGTGTTGACAGGTATGAGGAAGAAAGGGAAACTTGCTGTAGATGCAAAGCAGAACAGCCATTGCAGAAAACAGAATGGTTGTTTCCTGTAAAGTGAGGGATACAAGTACCACCTAAACTAGAAACCACATTACTGAGTGCAAAGGGAATGGAACAGTCATGTTGAAACAGGCATGGGGATCCCATGGTATCACAGCAATATTTGTAATAGCTAAGACCGAAAGCTCCATCGACAGATGAGCAGCGGAAGAAAAAGTGACATTTGAACAGAACAGAGTGTTTTTTATTGTAAGAAAAAAATTCTGACATTTGCAGCAATATGGATGAAATTACAAAACTTTATGTTAAGTGAAATGAGGCAGACATCGAACAAACACAGCGTTAATTCACAAACATGAAATACTCCGAAAGTTGGTATCTAAGAAATGAAAAGTAGAATATCAGTTACTACAGAATGAAAAGAGATGGAAAGAAGTCGATAGTTACATTTACATAGAAAAATTCTACTGTTCGGTTTTGTAATAGGGTTAGGGTTAGCTAATAATGTGCTACATGTTACTAAATAGCTAGAGGCAGGGATTCTGAATAATCTTGCCAGAAAAAAAATAAATATTTGTGATAGATATGCTAATTACACCGATTTGATAATACAATATATACATCCACTGAAGCTCTACACAACAGATACTTAGAAATATTACAGATCAATTATAAATAAAATTATAGTGCAGAACCCCACACCCCACAAAACAGAATTTATCATCTCATTAGGGAAAGTGAAAACTACTGATTGAAATGGGAAATTTGTTGTGTAAGATGAAATGGAAGGAGGAGATGCGTGAGGGAGTGAGTCAGCGCAGCCTGAGGAGTACAATGGCTGGTGAAGAGATGTAGCTGGAGATGGAACTGGACAGTCTGAGAAACCGGAGACAACAGGGGAGAGCAAAGGCATGGCTCTGCCTAAACCGAGAGTCACCGCTGCAGCCCTGGACAGGTGTCCTCAGTGCATGGGCACAGGAAAGGACACAGAATCATCTTAGCTCCCATTTCTCTCAAAGGAGGCAAGGAACTCTTTTTCCTTTTCTTCTATTTCCTTTCTCTCTCTCTCTCTTTTTTTTCCATCTTTCTTTTTGTTTCCTCAGAGTTTCCTATATAGGCCAGGTTTGTCTCAACCTACTCTGTGGTTCAGACTATCAAAAAAAAAATCATAATTCTTATACCCCAGCCTCTCTGGTACCGTGATTACTAAATATGCCATGACAACTGACAACAAACACATCAACTATGAATAGTTATGCCCCATCCATTTATTATATACAATCACTGGCATCTGTTTCACATAACCATGAATGTGGTCCTCACAACAGCCCTGTGAGGTAGTCAGGAAACATCACATCTCTAGAAACACTGAAGATAGCATTCATGGTGGCAGGACTGATACAGAAGCCTGTGTCTTCTATGTCCTAATCCAGGACACCTTCTACTTTAAGATGAAGTAAGCTCATGGTGGTGAGCAAAGCAGGCTCCCTGCTTAGGACAGTTGACTATTCCCTGGGCTTGCAAACACAGTTCATTTAGACAAGATCTCATGCCTGTTCTCAGGGAGTCAACACATTAGGTCTGGGTTAAAATCAGCATCAGAAGGATGAATAGGACAGAACAAGTAACATCTTGAACAAGGGTTGCTGCTTGATTCTCACTGGACCAGGTTGGATGTTCTAACTTCAATCAGGACAAGAGGAGACATTCAGAGGATCTTCTCATCTAACAATTTATTGATTCCATCACAAATCCTCTTGAGATTTGGCCTGCAGTTTCCATGCGGACCATAGAGAGTGGAAAGGAACTCAACATCAGCGAAGTGGTTAAAGACATGGTTTATGCGTCCATGGGTTCTGGGTGTCAAATGGCGCTGCACCAGCTCATGGACCAGGTCCTTGCACTCATGGAGCAGCTTGGAGAGCACATTTGTATCAAAGGTGTATTCTACTTCATAGAAACTGACCATGGTCATGGCAGTCTGGTTCAGCTTCTTCCTGAGTTTCTCCACAATCATAACCTCCTCTTGACTGAACTGTTTGTTCCGGTAGAGGATGCCAATTTTGATTGCCACCTTGATCAAATCTTTCATGATCTTGTGGGCCTCCTTCTTGTTATGGGTGTGTTCTTCTGTGACTTTGTACAGTTCATCAAAGATCTCACTGCTGGTGTCATCGATCAGCATGTTGGCTACGGTTTTGCTGGCTATTTTGCTCAGGATCTTCTTCTGGGCTTGTAGGGCAAGATTCTTCGAGCTAAACACATTAGGACCTATGGTAAGGATATAAACAAATGCAGGAATATGAGAATCCTTATATTTTTTGCAAGTAAAACACAGTTAGTTGAACTTACATCCTTAGGACAAAAACTAATGCCTATACCCACAACCACCTAAATGAACTCCACTCCACATCTCCCCAAGTGCTTAAATTATAGGTATATGTCACCATACCCAGCTCACTAACATGTTTATTAATTTTCAATTGCATTTATTTGTGGTGTGTATGGGGGGGCACACGGGTGGTCACAGGACAGTTTGTGGGAGTCAGATCTCTCCTTCCATCATATGGATTCTAATGATTAGACTCAGTTTATCAGGTTTGGTGGCAAGCACCTTTACAACAACTAAATCCATATCACCGGCCCTAGCCACTGTTCTTGGCAGCACAAGGAAAGACACTTTATGGAGAAATAGACATTAGCAATGGCAAACCACCAGCTGCCCTGCTCTCCACATGGGCTTGTTCCTTCTGAGAATTTTCTAAATGGCATTCTCACTCATCCTTCTGTGGACATGTCTTCCTCTCCTCCAGACCAGATCTTACCATTTCAGACCTACTCCCTACACAATATGTCTCTGAGTCAACTACTTACCAAAGATTTCTCTACAGCCACTGGCACTGTAGAAACTATTCAGGGTGCCCAGAATGTAGTCAATTTCCAGGGACAACATGGACAAGTTGATCATGGAAGTGGTTTTTTACCCCTGAATCTTGGGACCCATGTTTTCTTGAATCTACAATTTCCTCTTTTCACTTTCAAGACCATGGAAATTGTGGTGTGCTCCAGATGCTAGGCAGCTGTTGGGCTGTGGTTATCATTACCTATATGTACAACTTACACAATAGATGTCAGAAATTTGAGAGAAAGTCAAAAGAAATGATACTCAACCAATGTTTATTTGCTTTGCTGTTTATTTTTATTTTTGAGATGTGGTCTCATAGAGGTGGGGATTTAGGTTAGTGGGAGGACATTTCCTTAGCAAGCACAAGGCCCTGGGCATGGTTGACAGCAACAGACCCCCCAAAAAAAAATCACACAGCCACAGGGTCTCACTATATAACCCAGGCTGGTCTGGAACTTCTTGTGTAGCATAAGCTAGATTTGAACTCAGGATCCTCTTGCGTCTGCCTCCTAAGTATTGGGGTTACAGATGTGTGTCTCCATTCCAAGGTCACTAATTCTCAAGGGCACAGAATGATACTGTGTGGGAAATACAAATATCAACAAATAACAAATCAAACTTGCCTTGTATAACTACCACACTGAATGAAAAATAGGAAAACCACAGCCAACTTACTTTTCTCTTCTCTACTTTGTGAATAAAGGAGAACATATGTGTTTTTACATCCTACAACACTGTGTCTACACAGGCTGTCTTGAATTTGTTGAAATATTCTGCATCGTCTACAATTGACCTATGTAGCCCAAGCTGGCTTTGACCTTGGGATTATAAGAATGGGCCACCATGCTTGGCTCATCCACAGAACTTTAACTTCATGTATGTTCTTAATGCTTGAAAACACCTCGTTAACCCATCATAATTATCTGCAACCAAAGTGTATAAGCAAATTAAAATTCAAGGAAGCTTCTGGTGACAATAAACCTCCATAGATTGGTATTTTTTTCTATTGAGGCACCGTGTTCATACCAAGACTATTCTGGGCTGAATATTTGTTAACCCTTAAAAAAGAGTAAAGCTTTACAAGAAACACATGTGGAATAGTGGGTTAAAGTACTTTGATTAAAAGATGCATTATCAACGTGAGTTTTAGATTGGCTCATTGTCTGGGAAGGTTCTCCACCCCAGAGCTACAAATTCATTTAAACTTCTCCCTAAGAGGAAACACCATGATTGAACAATAATAGAAATAAGAAAGGTCATCATGCCTTGGCCTTATCTATCTTTCCAGGAGAATGAATTTGTTTAAAGTCTACACAGAAAAGATGCATAGAAATTGGAGAGGGAATTTGTATCTGGAAATCTGTTCCCTCAAAACTCTTTGAGTTGGGTAAATAATGAATACTTGTACTAAGGAGGAGGAGCACAAGTTTGAGGCTAGCCTGGGCCATTGAGAGGTTTCAAAAAAAAAAAAAAAAAAAAACAAAACAAAAAAACAAACAAGAAATCAGATTGAGACATGGCTCAGCAGTTAACAACATGGCATGACTGCTCTTGCAGAGGATGGAGTTCAGTGTCCAGGGTCCATAACAGGCTACTTGAAACACTCTGTAACTCTGTCTCCAGAGAGTGGCCTTTTCTGGCCCCTCTGGTACCTGTTGTCATATGCATATATAGACAGACAGACACACACACGCTTGAAATTAGAATAAATCTTTTCTAAGACGAAAGGTGTGGTCTTTCCTTCCTATATACAGATGATAAACGGAACTGAGAAAGTAATGAGAAAAACAATACCCTTTACAATAGCTACAAATAACATAAAATAGATAACTCTAACCAAACAAGTGAAAGACCAGTATGACAAGAAATTTAAGTCTTTGAAGAAATAAATTGATGAAGACATCAGAAAGTGCAAAGATCTCCCATGCTCTTGAATAGGTAGGATTAACATAGTTAACAATGGCAATCTTACCAAAAGCAATCTACAAATTTAATGCAATCCCCATCAAAATACTGGCACAATTCTTCATAGATCTCGCAAGAACAATACTCAATTTTATATGGAAAAACAAAAACAAAACAAAACAAACAAACAAACAAACAGGATAGCCAAAACAATCCTGTATAATAAAGGAACCTGACTTCAAACTTGTAGAGCTACAGTAATGAAAATAGCTTGGTATTGGCATAAAAATAAACAGATGGGCCAATGGAATCAAATCAAAGACCCTGATATCAATCCACACACTTATGAACACCTGATTTTTGACAAAGAAGATAAAATTATAAAACAGAAAAAAGGCATCTTCAACAAATGGTGCTGGCATAATTGAATGTTAATGTGTAAAAATATGCAAATACATTCATATCTATCATCATGCACAAAACTTGAACCCGGATGGATCGAAGACCTCAATATAAAACCAACCACACTGAACTTCATAGAAGAGAAAGTGGGAGGTACCCTTGAAGAATTGGAACAGGAGACCATTTCCTAAACATAACATCAGTAGCACAGACACTGAGATCAACAATTAATAAATGGGACCTCCTGAAACTGAGAAGCTTCTGTAAGGCAAAGGACACAGTCAACAAGACAAAAGGGCAGCCTACAGAATGGGAAAAGATATTCACTTTGTCTCCTTCTGTGGCACTGACCACACCCATTGGAGGGTGGAGCCAGGGGTGGAAGTGACTTGTGGAAGGAGGTCTGAGGAGGAGCAGGGACTGCTCTTTTGCTGGCGAGTCGTGGAGAGCATCTGGTGGAACTTGCTGGTGTTCATCTGTCTAGGTTGTAAATTATTTCTCCCTGAATAACATCTATCTGGCCTATTTGTTTATCCTGATCCTTATTTAACCACAATATCTGGTGTCAGAAGGGGGATCAGGATTTTCACAGGACCTGGGTTTCACCCAGGCGGCAGACACCATTCCCCAATGGGCAGGGTCCCTTGCCTAACCAGGTGGACTCACCACAGCTTTGGGACATCTGCCTCTGCCCTACAACTCCTTTGCCTCCACAGCGGGCCTGAGAAGGTACTCACTGCTTCTCATTTTTGCCCATTTCCCCACTTTGCATTCGCACAGAGCCACTTGGCGCCCGCCCTGCTTGTGTGTTTCCTGCGGTTAGCCCTGCGGTCCCAGCAATTCCTCAAGGCTCCTTTTACTCATTTGTCTAACAAAATTTAGCTTGCCATAGTTTGTTAAGAGCTATTTTACAGGGACCGGGATCAGAAGGATCATCTGCTGCCAGACGCTATTGGGCGGTACACTTCAGGACACTCCAGGCATAACTACCACAAGCTGAGATCTACAACTAAAAGCATCAAAGCTCCAGGACAGCAGAATTACACCTAAGGTAATTGTAACATCCTTTGTAATTTAAGCTGATATAATATCTGAGATCAATTGTTCCATACCTATGGCAGATAATTTTACAATGCAGGACTTTAGGAATTCTTTTACTTCATATATAGGAATTTTAGCAGAAGAAAATTATGACTGGACCAATATGTACATTTATTTTGTAATAGCAATGGGTTTCATCATTAACATGATATTCTTAAAGAAATGGTTTGAGATTACAGCAAACAATAAGGAACTTGTACAAACCATAGGAGACTTAGTAACAAAGATTCAAAATATTGAAGATGGCAATAGAGAGCTAACAGGTAGAATACAAAACATGGAACATAAAAATGACCAAGTAGAAAACAGAATTTGTTCCATGTCCGATGCCTCAATAACTAGAACAGAAACAATGCAATGCATTAACACACTAGCAGAAACAGCTCGTTCCTGGTCAGAGGAAGTTACTAATAAGTTTAAAAAACTGGAACATCAGATAGAGAGACTAGATGATAGAATCTCTTCCATGTCGGAGGATAATGGCAAGCTAGCAGATAGAACATTGTTTCTGGAAGGCAGTTTACATGCTATTCAGAAAATATATAAGGATGATAATATTAAAAACATGGAATCATTTGCAGTTGGAGAAAGTAAGAAACTGATGCAATGAAGTCTCTAGAAAGTTATTTGATTCAAGAAGTTCAGACACTTAAAGAAACAATGGTGAATAGATTTCAGGCTTTAGAAGACCTTCAGTCTGATACATCAGAAGAAGAACTACAGGTAACAGGGCATGAAAAAGACTTAAAATTTTCCACACCATACAGGGGAGCTTTCCCTGTATCTATTAATGAAAAACCAGCAACGAAAAAACACCCAAAAGGTGTCATTGCATATCAGTAGGAACCAATATGTATGAAAGATTTAAAAGGTATAAAGGAAGCAGTAGTCTCTTATGGCATGCACTCACCATATGTGAAGCAATTAGTAGAATCATGGGCAAGGAAAAACAAGGTAA